GGCATCACCCCCCCACCCCCCTGGGTCCTGGAGATATCTCCTCTGCCCCACCCACCCCCACCGCCCCCGGTGAAAGACAGTATCAAGCCGCACCAAAAAAACTGAGGCCAGCACTGGGACTCCCCCCAGCCCGGGGCTCCCTGCCTTTCACCCTGAATCCCCAGGTCCAGAACTACTTCTACTGAGGGCAGAGAGGCAAGTCCAGGCCAGTCTTCCCTGTGGCCATCATCCCATGGCCCTCTCCCATTTGCTGCTTCTCCCCTCCCTGCTGGGGACCTTCCCCTACAGCTGGTTCAGAGCAGCAAACAGCTTCCTGATCCAGCCCCCAGGTCTCTTAGGGCAGCTAACTCAGGCAAGGCTGATAGTGGCTGGGGGGGGGGGATGATTACAGCCCTCATTAACCCTTCCTAAGCTGCTGCTCTCTGACCTGCATCTTCCCTATCTAGCCCTGCCTGGAACTGGTGTATCGGACCAAGAGGCCCCTGCACAGACAATCCACAGCCCCAGAGACTTTGACTGCCCCTCCTTATCCTGGCAGCAGCTCTGCAAGGTATTTCATCCTCCTAAAGAGGAGGGAGAGGCAAGGAAGCAGCACTACATTGATGCTGCCCTGATATTAGTTACTTTTGCATCCTACCTCAGTTTCCAGGTGCAGCTGGTGAAGTTTGGAGGGGATATGAGGAAGCCTGGAGACCCTCTGCACCACTCCTGCAAAGGCTCTGGGTTCACCTTCAGTGACAACTACATGGACTAGGTGCAACAGGCCCTGGGAAGGGGCTGGAGGGGGTGGCTGCCTGCAGCTACTTGTGAAGGACACAGCTAGTAGTACTCCTTGGCTATGAAAGGGCAATTCACCACCTCCAGGGACAGTTCCCAGAACCTGCTGCACCTGCAGATGAGCAGCCTGAGCCCCAGGGACACAGCCTGGAGCCCCTAGCCCAAAGCGCCCTATTCCCTCTCCCTAGTCTGGCCTGGCCCCTGGGTTCCAGCTTGCCCCAACTCCAGCCCTGCTCTGTCACCCCGTCAGGTTGTCACCTTTTTTTTTCTAGGGTCCGGAGAAGGGCACAGGGTCTTGCTTGTGCCAGCTAGAGTCTCTGTTCTAGAGAGCTCCTAGTTCAAGATACAGGAGTGGGAGGTGGAGGGGGGGGCCGAGGGGGAGGCAGGGTCACAGTGGCCATGCAAGAAGGTGGCCTGGTCTCTGTAATGCTCCAGTCTGTCCCCTATATCCCCATTGCTGTCACTGAGCTCAGTGACAGCAGTGCAAGGGAGCTGGACAGGGCAGAAGGGAAAGGGCCAAGGAACTGAGGCTTTGGGGGCTAAAAGTCAGCTCCCCCAGGCCCTGAAGGCAGCAGCAGCATGGACTCCAGTCCAATGCCGGGCTCAGCATGGACCCACCAGTAATGGGGCCAAGCAGTTTGCTCTGAAGCAGCCAGTTGGCATCTGGGCCCAGGCAGAAACAGGGAGAAGAAAACCTCCCATGGGCACACACATGAGCACACTTCCCCATCTGCCCTAGCCCCAAAGCGAAGCCCAGGCATACTCCCTCTATGCAAATCCAAGTCTTGCTCCCTGTGGATCACCATCTGTCTGCAGTCCTCCAGCACCAAGTCCTGCCTGTGCTGGACACACACAGTGATACAACGCGGGGCAAGGAGCAGTTTCCATGTAAGACAGGCTGGGGCTTTGAAAGTCATGCGCTGCAGGAGCTGACAGGACACAGAGTCCTGGGGCTGCTCAGGGGAGGGGAAGGGAAGAAGGCTTCATCCCTCTTCTCCTTCCTCTACAAACTGCAGCACTCAGCAGGAGCCATTGCATGAATGAGTGAACAAGGAGGCCCCTCTCTCTCCCTACCTACATGTGCACATGCACGTGCGCACACGCGCGCACACACACACACCATCTGGGCCTCAGCTCAGCCTGTTCTCCTGTCTGACCCCTCTAGGAAGGATCCAGCCCCCAGGTGGAAATACGTTTTCGAGGGAGGCAGAAGAGGGCAGACGTCCCCTGTCCTGGGGTTACAACCAGAACCCGGCTGCTGGTTTGGGGCCTCTGAAAGAGCAGCAGATACAAACACCGGGGACACTGGCAAGGAGACAAGGGCTGTGAGAGCTCACACCAGTTACAGCACCTGAGAGACTATCCTTGGTTCTTGCTGACGAATAATAGGCCCCACAAATAGGTCTCGTCGCAGAGGGGACCAGTGCAGGGGACAGAGCTGATCCAGACTGCTCCAGGTCAGGGTTAAAGGGATGTCAGAGCTCAGGGCCAAGTGTCCCTTCCCTCTGAGATAACTGTGGATCTAACTCTTTGCACGTTTTTGCATGGTTTTGCATTGGGCATAAGGCCCTGGGGCCAGGTATGCAAATGATCCTCCACGTTTCATTTAAGAGCAGAGGCTTCCCCTCGTTCTGGGCAATATCTGGCCAGTCCCAGCCCCTGTGACCTGTTTCATCTCGGCCTGCTCCAACTTTCTGGCCCACAGGAAACATGGGCCTTTTGCTCCTGTCCCTCCTGCTCTTGGCCAGTGCACCAGGTAAGTCCCTGTCTGCAGAGTCTCCCCAGGACTGCCTGCCCCCAACCTCTGCCACCTCCCTGACAGCTCGTCTCTGTGCTCTCTGCAGGGGTCTGCTCCCAGGTTCAGCTGCTCCAGGCCACTGCGGCCCAGGAAAAGCCTTCAGGGACCTTGAGACTCACTTGTGCCGTGTCTGGATTCTCCCTCACTGCCAGTGGGAACAGAGTGAGCTGGATCCGGCAACCCCCAGGGAAAGGCCTGGAGTGGCTGTGCCTCATCTACTGGGATGATGACAAGCGCTACCAGGACTCCATGAAGTCCCGCCTGACCATCTCCAGGGACACGTCCAAGAGCGAGGTGTATTTGGAGCTGACAGGACTGGAAGCCAGAGACAGCGGCACCTATGACTGTGCCGGAGCACAGTGACACACTGCCATGGGGACCCTGTACAAATACCCGCTCTGCAGGGATGGAGACTGTTAGAGCGCCTGGCCCTGCCAGCTCCTCCCCCTCAGCATGATCTCTGTGCACATCAGGGGCCAGGCCCTCAGAGCGGTGACTCGGTCTGGCCCCATGTCCCAGGAGCTGCCCTTGGCCCTCTATGGAGGCTCTGCCCCAGCCTACGATGGACATAGGGTTTTGCTAGAGCTCAAGTGCCTGCCTGGAAACGTCAGAAAGGCTGGGGACCCCCAGTGCAGGGCAGGGCAGGGCAGGGGCAGCCAGGGCTGGGACAGGGGCATCCTGTCCAGGGCAGGAAGGGGACCGGATTCTGACAAAGAAATTCTCCTTGCACAGAAAGCAAACTGCCTCACAAGACCAGACTGGCTAGGGGCTGCA